GCCAAGGTGCAAATATTACAAGGGAAATTACAATGGGATGAGGGAAGAGATGAGGGGTATCAACTGGCCTGACTTATTAAGGTACAAGAACGCAGACACTACGCTGAATATCATAACTAGTAAAATGACCCATTTGATCGATAAATATATACCCAAGACCAAACCCAGTGCTTCTAGGAATACGAGGGGATCCCTACACATGAACCATGCGGCGGTCGAGAAAATTAAGAAGAAAACCCAGAAATTCAAGACGTGGGTTGGGTCAAACGATGAGCAAGACAGGAGGATGTATGCAAGAGCCAGAAACCAAGCAAAGATAGAGTGTAGGAGGGCTGAAAAGGAGTTCCAAAGGCTGGTTGCACGCGAGGTCAAGTCAAACCCAAAGGCGTTTTACCGCTATGCAAAGTCGAAATTGAAAACGCGAGTAGGAGTATCAGACCTGAGGCTTGAAGATGGTAGTTACGCAGATTCTGACCAGGATAAAGCTGAGGCATTGAACAGCTTCTTTTTCTCAGTGTTCACAAGAGAGGATGCAACTAACCTTCCTGCGTTTGAGGACAGACGGTTCGACACAGCACTGACCCACATTGTGTTCACAGAAGAGGGTATTAGAAATAAACTGTCCAGGCTAAAGGTCCATAAGAGTCCTGGACCTGACATGGTGCATCCTAGAGTGCTAAGGGAGCTGTGCAACGAGCTTGCAGAGCCCCTGAAGATTCTGTTTTGTAAATGCCTGGATGAACAAATGGTCCCCAGTGAATGGAAAGTGGCTTATGTGAGTCCTATCTTCAAGAAGTGCGATAGGCACTCCACGAACAACTATAGACCGGTGAGCCTGACCAGCATAATATGTAAAGTACTTGAGAGTATTATCAGAGATGCAGCGATGGAACATCTACTACGAAACAACCTTGTAAAAGATTGCCAACACGGTTTTATGCCGGGGCGCTCTTGCTTGACACAATTGCTCAAGGTATTGGATATTTGGACCCATATTCTAGAACGGGGTGGTAATATCGACAATATTTACCTAGATTTTGCCAAGGCTTTCGACAGTGTACCCCACGAAAGGCTGAAAATCAAACTGAAAGGGTACGGAATTCGGGGAAATGTCCTAGCGTGGATAGAAGACTTTCTACATGACCGCAAGCAATGTGTGGTGATTAATGGCACGAAATCGTCATCTGTACCTGTAACAAGTGGGGTACCGCAGGGTAGTGTATTGGGCCCGCTGTTGTTTGTTTGTTTCATAAATGATATGCCTGACGTTGTACACTCCTCCATACAAATGTTTGCCGATGACGCCGAGTTATTTCGGGAAATTAAGAACCAAGCGGACTGTGAAGAGCTGCAGAAGGACCTCTGTGGGCTCCAGGAATGGTCGAAGGAATGGCTGCTGAGATTCAATGTCACGAAGTGTAAGAGGATGCACCTGGGGCGTACCAACGGTAAGGAGGCGTACCATATGTCCCAACGGGATGAAGAAAATGTACTAGTTGAGACTGTGTGTGAGAAGGACCTAGGTGTGTATGTTGACAATGAGCTGAAGTTCTCGGGCCATTGTGAGAAGAAGGTAAATCAGGCAAATAAATTATTGGGTCTTATAAGAAGGTCGTTCAGATATCTAGACGGTCCGTCCCTCGTGACGATCTTCAGGAGTGAAGTGCTTCCCCATCTGGAGTACTGTCACCCCATCTGGTCCCCGAGATATGCTAGGGACTGTCAGTTGGTTGAAAATGTTCAAAGGAGGGCCACCAAGCTGGTGCCTGCACTTCGGCATCTCAGCTACCCTGCGAGATTGGAGCGCCTGAACTTGCCTAGCTTATACTACAGACGGGCAAGGGGGGACCTAGTTGAGGTTTATAAGCATCTCAGGGGGCACTACTCAGTTGAGTGTCCTTACTTGGAGCTGGCGGACGCTCGCCCCACAAGGGGTCACAGCTCAAGATTGAAGAAGCCGCAAGTCCGGAAAACCGTGAGGGCAAACTTTTTCGGAGTGAGGGTTGTAAACTCTTGGAACAATCTACCAGAAAGTGTTGTGACGGCACCGAGTGTGAGCTCTTTCAAGAGAAGACTTGACCAACACTGGAGCGGGTTCAGGTACATTCAGGAGCCGGTGCATGCCCAGTATTTGCCAACAGTGCGTGACAGAGACGTGACCGATCGCCCGGGCGGCTAGCGAGCCGACCTTTTGGTGAAGAATATAAAGGAAAAGAGTCGTGACCGATCGCCCAAGCGGCTAACAAGCCGATCAGTGGCGAAGAGGATAAAAGTAAACGCTGCTGCCTACAGATTCAGGGTAGGAGCTACCAGTACAAGGGCCTCGAGGTTGTGAAGGAGAAGCTACTTCGAGTGGTTGGGGGAAATGTAGGCGTTAGTATTGTGCTGGAGACATTCCTCAGTAGCCAGACCAGGAGAACTACTGACCTCACCCAGAACATGTACCGTGTTGAGCTAGGTTATACAAGCATTATATAAACTCAATTTTCCTCGTTTATCCTCCCATTTCGGGTCATTGTGGTAGCAGGAATCTGGCCTCAAATACAGAATTGTTCTTCCCTCGGGTATTCACCAAGTGGGTCTTCCACCATAATTACTGGCCACTGAACTACCACCTTTCTATTTATACCGATTATGAATTGGCAAGGGAAAAATGGAATTAAAATGGACGATAAAGCACAAGGGGTTCAAAGACAAGAATTGATGGAGCATTTACATTAACAAGTATAGAGTCGGTTGTATCATGACCACACAGCATCTTATATGTATTCAACAGTAAATTCGGCCACCTAAACTGCCAGGTTTCAAGGAGGTATGGGACCAGGTGGACTCCTGTGCAGGTTTGAGAAAGTGGCTGTGGACACCAGGTGCAGTAAGGATACACGCCTACTATCCTCACTGGTAAGGTATATTAATTTCTATATTGCTTCCCTGGCAGATAATCAATGATCAGTTAAAAAAACCTTTGCTCTAGGCTCGAGATTCCATTCGTACATTCATTCAGGTGGGAAGCTTCAGATGGATGAAAGTTTAGAGTTCACACATTGCTCGATTGAAGTTACCAAGTAAATGTATTGTGCTAGATGGTCTGGTGGCGTGTTGAAGCCGAATTAAGGCTCATCTAGCAAGAACAATAGTAGTTTCCGATCTTATGTGAACCTAAATTTTTTAAGCTGCTAAATTGTATACAAGTTAGAGAAATGTCGAGTCTAGTCTTAAATTGGTCTAAAACTCCCCAGAACACCGTTATTAAAGGAACTAAAAAACGGAATTTTAAAATTTAAAATCAAGTTTATTGTAGAAATATGTCGATCATATCTACAGTTAAATAAATACAGCAGTTCCCGCTCCTATAATTCTTCCCCACTCTAGCCGGGTTCGTCCTTAACTGCCCACATAACGAAGGTAGGTAGGTCACTGTGCCGTGGGTGAAGCTGGATTGGTCCACTTTCAACTAGAACGAAACTCAAAATCATCCCCTCACTAAACCATTTCCAGTAGTTATTCCACGTAGTTCTCGGATATCTGGAACAAGCAAGTAATCAGAGATTAAATATAGAAGTATACTTTGTATCAAACTCAATCACACAGAAATAATTCACTAAATACATTAATATATAACCAAGTTATATCAAATATAAATAGTTAATCAACAAAACTCATTTTTAACCAACAAGAAAATTGTACTCAAGAAAAATAACACCAGCATTTGAAGAATGAAGAGATGTATATCCATGGATCCAGTAGTATTACTTCCTTTGAGGTTATGATCAGTACTGACCTCCCGTCACAGCTTTCAGAGTATTTAAGGACGGCAGTGGTGGGGGGGGGGGGGTGATACATGTGAATTAGGCGGGAAAATCTTAACTGGGCTAACCACCTCTTAACTGGGCTAACCACCTCATCACAAGTGTTTAAGACATTTCATTTCTCGATAATTGTTCCATAAAACTTCACTATGTCGTGATTATTTATCGCCTTTCTATTGCTAGTTTAATATTTTTCTATTTATAACTTGTTAATTTTTCACTATAGAGATTAATGAATGTGGTTTACCGGGAGTTAAACGGGCGTAACAACCATTAGCGGCTTTACTGTGGTGGTGTCTGTTTCTGGCCGCCCATAGAAAGTCGTAGAATTCGTCATGCTATATTTATCAAAACTTCAAAAACCAGATCACAATTGACTTTGATGTGAAAGATTATGAATAAAAGAAATACAGCGCATATTAAAGTTGGAAGTTTCTCTACATTTGTCACTTCCACATAAATACACATCTGAATCTGTAGATAATGGTCACTCATAATAAGCTTATTTAAAAATGAAAAGTCTTTAAGCTTGGTAATAAAATAAACTAATTCAATAAATGTCTGGCTGGGTTCCTTCTATACATTCCTAAATCTACTATAGAATTCATTGGCCTCTTTAACAGTGTAAGCAACTGCCTATAGCCATTCAAGCAAACCATAGAGTCTCAGAAGCCTTATTGGACAACATCGTGACAAGTATTGCTAACAATAAAAATGGTTCAACGTCACACTGATTCTAAATAATAAAAGTTTCACCCTTTAAGTAAACCAGCAGTACTTAAGTATTCCAGGCAGTATATAAGTACCACCAACATATAGGCTTTACTAACGTACAGTATTGTTAATGAATGTGGTGAGAATACTTCAAAGTTTGTATATATATATAAAATAGATCTATAATTTGCTTTAGTTCCTCCAAGAAGTACAAGTTTCTGTAGTGCCCCAAGAACGAAGGCACATTTTCTTTCTTGTTAAATTACTGAAATATTTATGTTTTTCAGTTATTTCACACTAAAAATCATTTTATTTTCACAGACTCTATTATATGCTAACATAGTTTTATGTAAATGGTAATAAATGATAATTCAAATAGCTGTTTTATATATTCAACGTAAAAAGGTAATAAGATACGGAATGATATGGAGGTGAGCGCCATCTATGAGTTAACAGCACTACTAAACCTTCATCACGGGGTACAGGGGGAGAGTTTCTCGTCTGGTGGTTCTTGGATCCATCACCAGCTGGAGCCACAAGACAGAGGAAGAAGGTGGAGGACGGACTAAGTGTACCACGATCTGACAGCCCCGAAAATATCGGCCTGAGGCATCGGTAAGACATTTATTCATAATATTATACCAGATATTTAACATTAATAATACTAAGAAGTTATTGGAGAGTTATTATGGTTAGACAGAGTGTATTTAATGGTTAATTTAGTTAATTGTGCTGGGTCGTCTAGTGAAGTACTGTATTGGTATATTGTTGCCACTATATAACATCAAAGTTGAAAGTATGTTTTTCCGGTGGTTTTTGATGTAATGAACGAATTTGACCTTCATTTGTGGCGCAAATCAATAGTTTTGAGATAAGCCCCTGGTGAATTAATATAAGTGGACAACCATGGAGTTGTTGATCAATGTGTTGTTCCGATGGTTTAGGAAAATATTCGTCCATTGGCTGTCCTCGGGTTTTGTATGAGAATGTTTTTTTTTTTAGATTTTTCAGTGTTTTACTCAAATGTGCCCTTTTCTTTTGTAAAGTAACGTTTTGCCAAAAAATAACATTTTCAATTTTAACAAACTGCTAATTTTGCCAATAAAATAGAGGTCAAATTTGAATAAAACACCAAAGTACACCAAAAACTAATTCTCATACCAAAGAACCTACCTAACCTAACCTACGAGGAGGAGACGAGTTAGGAGTATAACCTCGGGTAAACATGGCGGGAACCTGCGGACAGCCAATGGACCAATATTAACCCACTTTTCTTCAATGACGTTTCCCTCACAAATGACTTAAATATAGCAGGGAGATTAGGTAATTTTAAGTAATTTCTGAGGAAAACGTCGTAGAAGAAACGTGTTTTAACATTGTCTAAACTATTGGAAAAACACATTGCTCAACAAAAAGTCAATGGTTGTCCACTTGTAAAAATTTACCACCCTGCCCCTCAGAAACTAGAGCTATAAGAATCGAGGTAAAAAGTGTCCAAAACGCACCAAAACCCATCGGAAAAAGTTTTGGATTTAACCTAACCTAACCTAACCAAACCTAAGCTAACGTGGGTGTGTACCGCCATGAACAGACATACATAATGAACTGTTAAATATCTCGCTTGAACGTATTTTGTTCCAGAAATGTTATTGAAGAAAAGTGTCTTAGAATTGTCAAACTTACCGATTGCAATTATAAAATCCCCGAGATTCGTTTAGCGACAAGTGAAATGGCAAAAATAGGTTTTCCCTAGTGTATTATGTTTTTCGAGCAATTCTAACCTTCATTTCTGGTATAAATGAGCCGTTATGGAGATATGACCTCAGTTACCGGGACGAGTTTGATTTTGTTCATTTTTTCCAGATGATGATGTTATTATAGTATTTTAAGAGGCGACATTTGCTAGAAGCTAATACTATACTGTATAATCTGATGTAATATAACCAACCAAAGCGACTTACCTAACCTTACCTAACTTCCTAGCCGGGGCGTGGAATTGCCATATTAAACAAAGTACTTATTTTGATATGTTGTACCATAAGCAGCACATGAGGCGTCACTCATCATTATGATATGTTCAAATATTCTTCTAGCTATCCATTACAAGTGATTTAAGATCATATAAAAAATGAATAAAAAAGTGTTTTTAATTAAAATAAAAAGTTGTCGCCTCTTTTAAAATATTATAATAAGAACACCTATGGAAAATATGAACCAAATCGGAAAAACTCTTGCTGGTGGTAGTGGTGTTCTGAGAAAAAAAGAAAAAACCTAACCTAACCTTTCCTATCCCTTAACACTTCAAATAATATATTAAGGTTACTTTATTTAACTGATGATAAATTAAAAAGTTATTTCATTAATGTTTTGTCAGTGAGTCATTAGCATTTATAGGTCACTAGGGAAGCTGGAATACGTTTAAGAAACTAATTTGCAATCCCAATAGATTTGAACTGTCCTCTGATTGGTCACAGCAGATTATGTGAAATTCAAACGAAAGGAATTTAAGTATTAAATTGCGCAAAAGTTTTTGCCCGCTAGTGCAATAAGAATCCGTCAATATTGTCGTAACTTCGTCTTATTTTGGTCACGTCCACAAAATGTAACCGCGATGCGTCGCGTAAGAAACCGGGTGTGCCGATTCATTTTTTGTGCATCCGTCACAAAAGGTTAGATAGGGTTTTCAATTTTGTTTAACCTCTCATGTTGAAAGTGTAATTCAGTTTGGAAGAATGATTGTTGTTGTTGTTGTTTCTAGCGTTAAAGGAAATAAAGGTCACACGTTTCTATTAGAAAAAGCAAAACAAAATAAAAACACGGAAAATTGTAGTTTCGGCGAAGCGCCGAGGTCACACTCATTCTAAACACATCAAAAACTATTGGAAAAACCTAATTTCAACCTAACCGATTTGAGAAATCAGTTTCTCTATGTGGTATTAAACAAACAAGTGCCTTTGTTATATGTGTACGAAGTTGTTATTTGACCAAATAAACCGTCGGCTATTTGACCGGGACCTGCGAGGATCGTACGCATACGATTTTAATGGGATTGTAGTCGGGATGATTGTGGGCATTAAACAAGTCATTACACTGTGGTATTATTTAATTGTAGAAGTTTCTGTGGGCAAAAGTATTGTTTTATTTTAGATCTCGGTCAAATAATCAGTGGATATTGTGCCGAGTACCGGTCAAATAACCCCTGCCTATAATATAATAGTTTTACACTGTTGTGTATTATAGTATAGCTATTGGTTACATTTCCAGGAAGCTTCAAGGACCAACAACACACCTCCATGGCAAGTTGAGACTCGACCGTACAGACCCGTCCGATCTCGTCTACGACTCCGTTAACTGAGAAACGCCGCCGACCCGCGGAAGGTGAGACCGACTTCGTCACTTCACGTCGCGTAGTCGGGTGTACAAGTCGAGTGCATTAGAGTACTTGTATTTAAGTGCACTTGTACAGTAATCCTAAAAAAGTGGGCATTAACTTAAATGTTTGTGTCTAAAGTCACGTCCCATTGGCGTCGGTGGTACGCGACACCTCAAAACTGTGGCCCAGATTCACGTTTTCCATCCCATACCCAATTTTGAATGTGTGTTTATTTTGTTTTTCTTTAAAGTACAGTACAGTATAATATATTAATAACTTTTAGCTTCGTTTTTAAAGCCTAATTTCATTGTTATTAATTATGATACTCTACAAATACTGTGCTACTTTTTCTACTTGTATGATTCAGTTGAGCTAATTAAACTTTTATTTGCATAATGTTGAAGAAGACTACAGTACATAGTTCAAATTTTTACATATCAACAGTGCAGTACTTTATCTTAAGTAATATTTTCAGGCACTTTCTCCATCAATGCCTAAAGTGGACCTGAACCTTTGGACCTGATGTGAACTAGAATGAAGTTGGCTGGACTTCAAGTACTCTGTGGTATTGTATTTAATATTGTTGTAGTACTTTGAATGTTAGGAAAGTTCTACAGGCATTCCCCAGTTTATAAGAGTATTATGCATTAAAAACCTATATTAAATCGAATCAATATTCCTATAGACGCGCATTACAAAAGCCCAGATACTTTTCTACAATGAAAAAAAGTTCCCCCCAAATTATGTACAGTCCCCCAAAAACTATCGATAGATTTTCTTGCGGTAAAATTTGAAACTCTAGATGAAATACATTGATGTGATCCCCATTGCGTCAGCATAAGTTGTTACGCCCGCTCACTGTATCGGCAATGGCTATAGACGGCGGGTAGCGAGGGAGTCATCCTCGTGTGACATACAACCGTACAGTATATGCTTTACTATAACAAGAAATTCATTAAGCTATATTAATGTATGTATCGTGCTGGGTAGAAACAAGGCCTCAACCGAGGACTACAATAGTATCAAAATATACGTTAAATGGAAGAGTTTTGGAACGTCGCAATCGAGTAGGACCTCGAGGCGGACATTTCACCACCGTGTCGTAGTAACGGTTTCATTCGTACCGAGTTGCAGAATATAGTCGTCGACGACACGTCTGATTTATGAGAGGTGACCAAGGAAATATTACTTGATATTAGAGTGAACAGCTACAGCAATATACAATATATCGGTCTAGTTGGGATCTGCCAAATATTATTGATACGTAAATGGTATCGGTTTAATGTCACAATAAGAATTTAAATCGGCGCGTCGCTGGTCGTTTTGTGGCTGGCGGCTGAGCCATCGCGATACAGCGGGTTCGCCTCCCCATTGCGTCTTTCCGATAATTCCTCGGTTCGTTTGACGTAAGATCCCATTAATGACCAGCACGGCATCGGCGTCCATTTACGACACGCAATCTCAATTCGCGTAACGTGCGATCGGAAGCCTCGGAGGATTCGCATCTTTCAAAAACATATGTATACTCATTCGTGCTCAAAGGTGTAGACGTAGAGTTAGCAACAGTTCTGAAACAGGTCGTGTAACATTGGTCGAATAGCCTCGAATCACGTCGACCCCGTGGCTAAAGATATTATTTTGGGGTGACCATACACGTCGATTATAAGCCAATACAGGAGCTTCTCGACAGACAGACGAGTCGAGTTCCCGAGGCTTGTTCGCGAGTCCAACTTAACTCTTGTAGATAATGATATACAGTGGAGCTATACTGTATATACCCAGCACATTACGGTACAGTCGGTCCCCGACTTATGACGGGGTTAGGGACCGGGTCGCGAGTCGAAAATAATACCGTACATAGAAAATCTAAAACGAGTGTCTCTCTCTCTTCTTGGCACCGCGAGAACTCTCACTCTTCCGCTTGCCAGCTATTTTAAAGGGAATTACCCAAAAAAATTTTGTCGGTACACAGCGCAATCACTAATGTCGGGACTCGAAAATAGGTAATTTGACAAAATTTTGGTACGACCGAGGCAGTCGTAGGTCGTAAGTCGAGGAGTAGCTGTATTTAACTAATGATAACAGAAAAAGTTATTTCTTTAATGTTTTGTTTTTGTGTTTTAATGTTTTGTCTGTGAGTCGGTTCTCGTCTTCAACGTTTAGGTCACGAAGGAGGCTTAAATATATCTAGAAAAAAAGTTCTTGCTCCTGCGTAAATATCACAATAGATTTGCACTGTCCTCTGTTTGGTCACAGCAGATTATGTGAAATTCGAGCGAGAGAAATTTAAATAATAAATCCCGCAAAATTGTGGGTTTCTCCCGGAAGCACGATAAGAATCCGTCAACATCGTCGCAGTTTCGTTCTACGTCGGTCACATCCACGAAGTGTAAACACTATTGGACTGTACGAAACCGGGTATGCCGATTAAATTTTTGCTCGTCCATCGCAAGAAGTTAGGTAGTTTAGTTTAGGTTAGGTTAGGTAGGGTTTTCAATGTTTTTTTTTAACCCGTCATGTTGAAAGTAACTTTTTTTGGAAGATTCATTGTTTTTGATAGTGTAAAGAAATTAAAATCATATTTATTTATTAGAAAAAATCCAAATAAAAACTGGTAAAATTATCATTTTGGCCGTGCATCTATTTTCCAAAAGTCATAATCGTTCAAAATATCCATAAAAAGCGTTGGAAAAAGATATTTTCAACCTAACGTAACCTATTTGAGTAATCAGTTTCTCCATGTGGTGTTAAACTAATAAGTAATGTTTATTTTTAATACAAAGTTGTTATTTGACCCGGATTCTGGGCCAAATAACCGTCGGCTATTTGACCGGGACCTGCGGGGATCGTATGGGATCTTAATGGGATTGTAGTCGGGATGGTTGGGGGCATTAAACAAGTCATTACATTATGGTATTATTTAATTGTATAATTTCTGTTGACAAAAGGATTTAGTTGTGGTACTTTGAATGTTAGGAAAGTTGTACAGGCATTCCCCAGTTTGTAAGAGTACTGTGTCTTATAAAAACCTATGGTAAATCGAATCAATATTCCTATAGACTCACATTATAAAAGCCAAGATACTTTTCTTCAATGAAAAAAGTTCCCCCTCAATTATGTAGTCTCCAAAAAGTATTGATAGATTTTCTAGCGGTAAAATTTGAAACGCTGGGTGAAAGACTTTGATGTGATCTCCAGTGCATCAGCATAAATTGGTACAGGTACATCCGGTCACTATATGAGCAACAGCCATAGACGGCGGGTAGCGAGAGAGGGAGTCATCCTCGCGTGACATACGACCGTACAGTATATGCTTTACTATAACAAGAAATCCATTAAGCTATATTAATGTATGTATCGTGCTGGGTAGAAGCAAGGCATTTGTAAAGAAGCCCCTGACTGAGGATTACAATAACATGGAAATATACTTTAAATGGAAGAGTTTCGGATCACAACCGAGACGGACCTCGAGGCGAACATTTCACCGTGTCGTAGTGACGGTTTCATTCGTACCGAGTTGCAGAATATAGTCGTCGACGACACGTATGATTTATGAGAGGTGACCAAGGAAATAGTAGTTGATATTAGAGTGAACAGCTACAGCAATATACAGTATATCGGTCTAATTGGGATCTGCCAAATATTATTGATTCGTAAATAGTGTCGGTTTAACGTCACAATAAGAATTTAAATCGGCGCGTCGCCGGTCGTTTCGTGGCGGCTGACCCATCGCGATACCGCGGGTTCGCTCGCCCCGTTGCGTCTTTCCGATAATTCCTCGGTTCGTTTGACGTAAGATCCCATTAATGACCGGCACGGCGTCGGCGTCCATTTACGACACGCAATCTCAATTCGCTTGACGTGCGATCGGAAGCCTCGGAGGATTCGTATCTCTCAAAAACATACGTATGCTCATTCGTGCTCAGAGGTGTAGACGTAGAGTTAGCAACAGTTCTGAAACGGATCGTGTAACATTGGTCGAATAGCCTCGAAGCACGTCGACCCTGTGGCTAAAGATATTATTTTGGGGTGACCGTACTCGTCGATTATAAGCCAATACCGTATAGGAGCTCTTCGACCGACAGACGAGTCGAGCTCCCGAGGCTCGTTCGCGAGTCCGACTTAACTCTTGTAGATAATGATATACAGTAGAGCTATACCGTATATAGCCAGTACATTACGGTACAGTCGGTCTCCGGCTTACGACGGGGTCAGGGACCGGCGACCGGGTCGCAAGTCGAAAATGGGAAAATAATACTGTACATAGATGGGCGTCTCATTTTCTTCTCGGCACCACGAAACTCTCACTCTTACGCTTGCCGGCCATTTTAAAGGGAATTACAAATGAAAATGTTGTCGGTACACAGCGCAATCACTAATGTCTGCATTCAAAAATACGTAATTTGACAACATTTTGGTACGACCGAGGCGGTCGTATGTCGATTGATTGATTGATACGTTTATTGAGATACAAAAAAAACATTAATACATCTCAAAGGGATGAAGTGACATAAGTCATCCTCACCCCAGTCCAAACATCCACTCTATTTGCATGGGGACATTATTTATATGGGCATTTCTATATACATTAAGCAATGGGCATTCCAGTATATAATGTGGCAGGGTATGGGATCTGGATGTTCTACAAACTCTACATTCTTTATCCTGTTCACTTCTCTCAGCTCCAAGTTCCCAATAATATTTATATCCTAATCTTAACCTCATATACACTGAATCTTTCCACCTACTCCTATCTTTCCCATATGTAAATTTTGTGTTCATGAGAACATGATGGTAATGTTTCATTGTTTCACTTTTCTCGTATATTTCATTCCTTTTGAAATTATCTTCTATTGATTGTATTTTCCGTAATTTGCTCCTTAATTGCTTCAAGGTTTTAGTACATATTATGTCGATCTCGGCCTTTTCCGTGGCTCTTTTTGCTATTATATCTACTGCTTCATTAAGACCAATCCCCACATGTGAAGGGACCCATACAAATTGAACATTATGGCCATTTTTCCTTATTGTATTTACTAATTTTCTACATGAACCAATAATGTGTCCAAAGACTGGACTCCCACTGTTCAAAGAATCCAAAGCTGCCCTACTATCAACAAAAAAATATGCATCTTTATACCTCTTTACAACATTTTCCAATCCTACTAACATTGCATATAACTCAGCTTGTGTTGATGAAATAAAACTTCTCAACCGAAGTCCAATTTTGATGTCATTATTTCCTTGTTCTGTGTACTGTCTTATAAGGATCCCGCACCCTGCCCTGCCACTTGACATAACTGAACCGTCACAAAAAACATGCAATGTGTTTATTTTAGGCAAATTACTAATCTTATTCCCATATAAAGCCCTTATAACTGTCCTGGTTCATGTAATGATTTCTTCATTGTGAGAGGCACTATGTCTAACTCTACTTCTCGTTCTTCCCAGGGTGGATTCTTACAACTCTTCTGAACAGCTGTACACCAGTCTGCCAGATTACATTTTTTAATAATATTTATTAATCCATTCATGTATCCTCTCTTGCCTTGCCTGCAGAAGGTCCTTTTATCTTTTAAACCATCATTTATATCTTGTACAAATTTACTCCCACTGTTCCCTCTCATTAATCGAACTGCTGCAACTGTATTAATTTCATTGACCCTCTGTGAAATGCTCTGTAACCCTAGTTCCATTTTCATTATCTCAATCATTGCATTCTTTTGACACCCTAAAATAATTCTCATTGCTTCATTTTGCATGATCTCAAGCTTCCGTAGCCTTCCTTCACCAGTACAAGAGAGGACAGGTGCTGCATAGTCTATAAGTGATCTGATGGTAGAAATACACATCATTCTCAGTATGGGTACCCCAGCACCTTTACCACAACATGCTAGAGCCTTCAAGGGCAGTAATCTTGCTCTACATTGAGTGAGGACATGATATATTTCTGCCTCTTTACTTTCACTAGTAAAGCCAATATACATTCCTCAATATTTATACTTTGACACTTTCTCAACAATTTTTCCATTTAGAAAAACGGATTCAGTTCCTCTTCCTTTACATTCACACTTGGTTTTTTCTTCATTGATAACTAAGCCCATCTTTTGAGAAAGAACACTAAAATCATTTAATGCAATCTGCAAATTTTTTACAGAGTTTCCTTGAAATAAGATGTCATCTGCATAAATGATGGTTACAACTCCTTTGGGATATTTGTGTGAGGCTATCTTGTTCATTAACACATTAAATAACATTGGACTCAATACTCCCCCTTGGGGAGTGCCTAGTTCAAGTGCTCTTTCCTCAGACAAACATCCCTGATACCATACACAGATTCTCCTTCCATGCAAGTAGTCACCTATCCAGTGTAACAACTTTCCTGATACCCCTAGAGCAGCCAGTTCATTCATAACTACTTCACTGTGAGCTTTATCAAATGCTCCTTGTAAATCCACAAAAACTCTACATCTGTCTGCATCATTTGATAAACATTTTATAACACAGTCTGAAGTACATTTCCCTTCCAAAAAACCAAATAAATTACAAGATAGATTTTCCCCCACAATATATACAAGCCTATTTAATAATACTCTCTCCATCATCTTGGAAAAACAAGATGTTAAAGACACTGGCCTGTATCCACCAGTTGCCTTAGGGAAAGGAATAACTATCGCTTTCTTGCATTCTGTTGGTAATCTACCCTCTGCATAGCTCATGTTGAATAAATCTAATAATGGACTATTTTCCATACCAACTAAGCAGTTCAAAATTTCATGTCACACCATCTTCGCCTGGTGCTGTAGATTTTCCTTTTTTAACAGCATTTAATAACTCATCTTGAGTAATATCTACACATGTTACATCACAAATATTTAGAGCTGATGAAATAAATCTTTTTCTTTCATTTTGCCACTCATCTAATGCTTCTATTGTCCTGTTAGGCAGGGAGGCAACACTAGCAGCTTTAGCCCATTTGTCAACCAGTTTATTAGCTTCTTCCTCTGGATGAGGATGGCTAATAAAATTACTCCTTTTTCCTCTAATTTTGTTAATATCCTGCCATATTTCTTTGAGATTTTTACTCTCCCCAATGTGCTGTGCAAAATCTTGCCAATATTTCTCCCTTGCCTCCTTCCTAGCCTGCCCACATATTTTGGCTATATCCATGAAGATTTCCCTATCTTCTTCTCTTCTACCATTCTTTACCCAATCTTTATGTGCTGCCCTTAACATTTGTGTCCATCCCTTCAACATTTTGTCATTGGTATAGCAGTGTTTCCTAGCCCCATGTCTCTTATCATTTATTTTTTTCTGTGTTGACATAGTTAAATATCTTTCTATCTCCCCAACTAAGTCATTATAAAAGCTATCCATACAGACTGGTGTATAATTTCTGTACCATTTCTCTATATTTTGGGTAAACACTTCTGTGTCATCCTTGTTTAGTTTCAATTTCTTCCTCCTATATCTCACCTGTCTCTTCCCTAATGGTAATTGAACATACACAACAAAATGGTCACTGACTAGCTCCCTTATTATCTCACATTCTCCCTGGACTCCCTGACTGCTTATCATGCAAGCATAGTCTAACCTTCCTCCTTTAATATGAGTCACTTCCTTATTTCCTAACAAGTAAGCATCTGGGTGATCTTGTAAAAATTGCCAAAATTTTATACCATTACTATTAATTCTCCCCATTGTTTCGAGTCTTGGATGTCGAGCATTAAAATCTCCTACAGCCAAAGTTGAGTCCAAAAACATGCAATCTGGTAAGAAGTTGAGGTCAAAACAGCCTCCAGAAATATACAAATTTGCTATGTTCAATTCTCCTTCCTTCAAATATAACTTTATACAGACACTTTCTATTCCTTGTACTCTACTCGGGCTTCCAACTAGTTCTGCTGGTATGGAATTCTTAATGTATGTTGAGACCCCTCTTATACCTTCACCCGAATAGAGATGAAATCCCTTATATCCAGACAGTTTAAGCAGGTCGCCTTTCCTGTCCCCAGTCTCTTGAAGGGTAATTATATCAATATTATTTTTAAGGGTAAAGTAATGTACATCTGTCACTCTATTTTGTAGACCATTAACATTCCAGGACATTATCTTAAGGCTAGCTAGATCCAGGATTAATATTTACACATTTTATATCCTTTCCAATCAGATTCTTTAAGAAGGCCCAATCCTCCTGCACAGATTCCCATTTCCTCAAAAGGTTTTCTTTATCAGCATCTTTACACTTTACCAACACATTTTTAAAACTTTCAGTTGTTGCTCCCTGCACTACACAATCCTTTATTTTCCTCTCCTTCCCTTTAATACTTATTTTAAGCACTGAATTTTTCAAAAGCTTGAGCTCTTCACTTCCTCTTTCC